TCTTACATAACTTCGTGGATTCAGGCTGGCATGGAATCTTTTATTCCCTCTCGACGGTTCCAGGTCAAACCTCACTCTTCTCCTTGGTTTTCCTCACATTGCGCTGCAGCAATTTCTAATCGAAACCGTTACTTCCATATCTATCAGCAAAACAATTCTCCAGAAAACAGACATCTGTTCACTATCGCCAGAAACCATTGTAAAAAGGTTTTGTCTGACGCCAAAGCTCGCTATTCCCAGGTCATTAAATCTCGTATCTCATCACAAAAATTAGGCTCTCGAGACTTCTGGAGAATCTTTAACAGTATCAATAATAAGGGCAAATCTGTTATTCCTTCTCTCTTGTATGGTTCAGACTTTGTCACCTCACCTAAAGACAAAGCTGAATTGTTTGCTTAGAACTTTTCATCAATATCATCTCTTGATTCCACTAGTTGCGTTTTACCTGACATAGCCGTCAAACAGGTTGATCCCTTGCTTGACATTCGCATCACTTCAGCTTCTGTATCTAAAGTAATTTCCTGCTTAGACTCTTCAACAGCTTGTGGTCCTGACAACATTCCTGTTGTAGTCTTGCAGAGGTGTTCTCCGGAGCTTTCATCCATACTTTCTAAACTATTTAACAAGTGCTTATCAGAGTCTTGTTTTCCATCATGCTGGAAAGCAGCATCTGTTATCCCTATTTTCAAAAATTCCGAAGAGCGATCTGATTCATCTAACTACCGTCCCATTAGTCTTCTTCCTGTCATAAGCAAAGTTTTTGAATCTTTAATCAACAAACACTTAATCTCTCATCTTGAATCAAATAACTTACTTTCTGATCATCAATATGGATTTCGGTCTTCTCGTTCTACAGCTGATGTGCTAACAGTAATAACCGATAGGTTTTACCGTGCATTAGATAGAGGTGGAGAGGTTAAGGCTATCGCACTTGACATTTCTAAAGCTTTTGATAAAGTTTGGCATGCTGGTCTTCTCCATAAGCTTTCTTCTTATGGTGTAGCTGGTAACGACTTTAAGATTATTGAGTCCTTTCTTTCCAATCGTAGTATAAAAGTTGTCCTCGATGGACAACACTCTTCTTCACATCCTGTAACCTCAAGGTTCAATCCTTGGCCCTATACTCTTTTTAATTTACATTAACGATCTTCCAGATATTCTCACATCTAAGGTGGCATTATTCGCTGACGACACTACCATTTACTCTTGTCATGGTAAGAAGCCTACACTCTCTGATTGCTTGGAGGGGGTATCTGAGCTTGAAAAGGATCTCACTTCTGCTACAGCATGGGGCTCACAGTGGCTGGTGAACTTTAATTCAGATAAAACTCAATTTTATTCGGCCAATCGTTATCGTAATAATTTAGATCTTCCTATATTTATGAATGGTAATGTACTAGATGAGTCATCTACCATTCATCTTCTAGGATTAACTCTTACTTCTGATCTTTCTTTTAAACCCTATATCAAATCCATTGCAAAATTAGCATCTGCTAAGGTTGCATCTCTTTATCGAGCTCGACACTTTCTTACTCCAGATTCTATTCTCTATCTCTATAAATCTCAAATCCGTCCCTGTATGGAATACTGTTGCCACATCTGGGGCGGATCTTCTAATGATGCTCTTTCTCTTTTAGACAAGGTGCAAAAACGAATTGTAAACATAGTTGGACCTGCTCTGGCAGCCAATCTCCAACCTTTGTCACTTCGTCGTAATGTTGCTTCTCTTTCTCTTTTCTACAAATACTATAATGGGCACTGCTCTAAAGAGCTAGCGTCCCTTGTGCCATCTACTAAAATTCATTCTCGTGTTACTCGCCATTCAATTAAGTCTCATCCTTTTTCTGTGACTGTTCCTAAGTGCTTCAAAAACTCTTATTCTTCTAGTTTTTTTCCTCGAACATCAGTTCTTTGGAATTCGCTTCCTTCATCTTGCTTTCCTGATTCATATAATTTGCAATCTTTTAAGTCATCAGTCAATCGTTATCTTGCTCTACAGATTTAGTCTTTTCTCTTCCAGTAACTTCCAACTCTTATAGTGGTTGCTTGCAGCCTTGTTGGAAGTGAAGATGTTAAAAAAAAAAAAAAAAAAAAAAAAAAAAACTTTATCAAGAGTTTGACCTCTTGAAAAGAGCATCGTCTTTTAGAGTCACCATCATCTTTCAATTTAAAAATTAAAATATGTCCATCTTATTACTAATTAAGTTGATGAAGTTTTCGATCCTATTACTGATTAAGCAGATATTAACAGATTATTAAGATTCAAGAGTACCTCATCGCGTGGTCAAAAATAGAAAAAAACAAAAAGAGAAATATCTAAAAGGCCAAGCATGCTCATAAAACTCCGTGTAAAAATGTGCATGAATGGTGAGCAGCAGCGGAAGCATTATGTTATTAATATTTATAAATGATTGTGGTGTTAATTGATGTGGTTCCAACAATGGCACATTTGAAACTTAATTTTTTAATATTTTATTATTTTAATTATAATTTTACAAAACAAAAAATTTGTAAAAATAAATACTAAAATAATTTAATAAAAAGTTTTATAAATCTTTTTTTTTCTTTCCCAAAGTTTTCTTCTTGTTGTGCACACATTAGAAAAGAAATGCTATAAAATAAATAAAGATATTATACATAAAATGAAATATATTGTATTGAAAATAATTTAGGTTATATTGCATATCTAGTTTCGAAACAAAAATCCCATATATTTATACATTCAATGAAAGGTTTATTGCTACTAGATTCGAAATTATGCAGGGAAAATTTTTTTTTCCATGGGTTCCTAATGCAATTGTTCTTAAAATTATACAATAATTAGAAATACTATATAAATGATGTAGTTATTTTTTCTTAGACTTGTCTAAAAAATGAAACTCCTATATAAAATAAAAATATAATTTGATTTGGTTATTCAATTAATGATTTTGATATTGATTTTTTATTGATATTGGTTTGTCAGTTCAGGCATATGATCATGATTACCCTTCTACTGGTAACATGTAGTCTGGTACAGCCTATTCCATGCCCTGCTGTTTTGTAGATTTTGCTTTCAAAGCAAAGGCTAGAAGAATGGTACTCATATCTAAAGTAATAACTAATTTTGTCTCTTATACAGTTGAAGATATTTTAGGTAATGTGTTAGCTCACTCATATCTTACTATATATGTATGTTTGTGTTCTGTCTGAACCTCAGGGATGGTTGTTATCTATGCATAAGTTCCTATATCTATGTTTGTATTCTGTCAGAACCTCTGGTGCAGTGTTCATTCATCTGCAAGTTACTAAATGTATGTTAGTGTTCTACTTGAATCTCTGATATAGTTTTAGCTCAGTTACCAATTATAAAAATACTGACTACAGCTGTATAACATACACTCTCCTTAAATTCCTGTATTTCTTTAAATATAATGTTCTTCCTAATGCATTTCCAAAATATCCATTCAATGTTTTAAAGTACTGCTTACAGAAATAACTTTTTTCAACTTCTCCAGGTAAGGTGAGGTTCATGATCATCATGATCACCATGTTACTGATAACCCAGTACTACCTGCCCTGTTTCCTGCTGCCTCTTAGGATTTGATTTTTTAGGCTTAGAAAAAAAAAACTCTGATTAAAAATTAGGGTAAGCGAAATAATTATGTTGACCACCCTTCCACCCCTTCTTTATCTATTAGACTGGTGTAGATGTAAACCTGTGATACATTGTTTTATGCCATTCAGGATGATGAATGTTTGATCTTCTTGACTCTGCTCAGATTTTGACTTGTGCCTTCTTGATAGTGGCATTGCAACTCTTTCTTTTATCTCCTAATGAGGGTACAGCTGTAAAACTCAGGTTAATGGTTTTGATGACGGCTGGTAGTAAGGTCTCTGGTAGTAAACTCTGTGGTAGCTCTTAAAAAGGCTAGTTCAATCAGCTCAAATTTAAACAGCTGTAAAATATCAGAAAATTATCAGTACCATGTTGGTTGGGCCATGTTGCACATGATGGTGTCTTTGTTAGTGTTTTTAGTGTGCATTGTCAAGGCCATATAAAGAACCCTAAATTATGACTTAAATTATGACAAATTAATTAGTGGGACTGAGACAACAGCATAGCTTATTACATGGGATGCCATACTCTATCTATGAGTGAGTCAAGTTTTCTTTAATATAAACTATGACCAAAGTAACCAAAAATATTAAACATAAAAAACCATCACAACCACCTAACTGTTTCAATATATCTTTGACAAATATTCGTGATCTTCAAATAAATTTTTCATCAGTTGAATCTTACCTCTTTGCAAAATTCACCAGACTTGTTTGCTCTTTGTGAAACTAACTTGGCTGTTTCTTCTCAATATTGATGGCTTCATTCCTTTAATTTGCAAAGACTTCAATAGTCAAATGCTTGGTTTGGGCGTAAACTTATGCATCAATTCACCTATTTGTCAAGAAATTAAGTTCGAATCCTCTAATCATTCATTTTTGTGATCGAATTGTCCATGCCCTTTCTCTTTATCACTCTGCCAATATTGTTGTTAATGGGGACTTCATTACTTATCATACTGAATGTTCTAACACCACTGACCCTGCTGGCATTAAAGCTCATAAGTTCTGTATCTAACTGTAAACCAACTGAGATACTCTTCATGATTATCTTCATGATGATTGTTGGGCTAATAACTTTTGTCTCTCAGCTGATAAATGCACCTTGGGACTTACTGTAGTTTGAGAAATTTAGCTCAATAGAACTCAGTTATTTACTCCAAACAACTATTGCATTACTTTTCAACACTCTTCATTTATTCAAAAATGTTGTGTTTGGATAAATAAAGAGTGCGAAATTATCTGAGGGTTTAAAAGGATGAACAGTTTTATTATTGCATAGCTTTTTAAAGTATTTTGTAGTAGGTTTTAGTAAATGTTTGGAACTTTGAAAATAAGCTAATGGTAAATTTATAAATTGTGTTTTGAGCAACATGTCAAAACCTTTTTTCCTATTTTTATAGATCAACATTTCTGATGCTATCCAGTCTAATTTACATTCGATTCAATCACAAACGGCATTACAACAACAGCAGCAAATTTCTTATCAACAACAACAACAACAACAGATGATAAATGCACAAATAAAGTTGCAAGGTTTTTTGTTCTAATGATTACTATTACTATTTTTGCTATTTTATATATATATATATATATATATATATATATATATATATATATATATATATAAACCTATATTTTAATATGAGTGTAGTTGATTAATAAAACCTGGAATTAGGGTCGTCATTCGGCAATGCCGACCTAACTGCCGACCTGAAAGTGTTTGAGGTCGGCAATTTTTTGCCGTCCTTGTTTTTATGTTTTATGGTCAGACCTTTGTATCAAATAATTTTTGCCGACCTGATGCCGACCTTAAAAAGATTGAGGTCGGCAATAATTTGCCGACCTCATTTTTCCTAATTCTGAGAGTTGATATATAGATGACTTGCAAATGTTTACATTCTCGTTTTCAAAAAAACATGCGCGTGTATACTTGTAGACAGAAAAAAAAATAATTGGAAGTTTTCCAGCAAAAACATAGAGTTGTTTGTATGTTTTTTCAGGAAATTTATTCACTTATTAATTTTTTAACAAGAAGTAAATTATTTTAACCAGTTGTTGTGTCATTAGTTACTCAAAAAGATGTGAAAACTAATGTAGGTTTAAAATTTATTAAGTTTCTTTTGAAAAATCAGCTTTTAAATGAAGAAGACATGAGGCTTTATTAAAGCTAATTCATGATGTAGAGACTGGATTAAAGCAATCCATAATATTTCATAAAATTGAAGTTGCTCCAATTTCTTGTTCAATCTAAAAAAGAGAAGAGAAAAGTATGCTAAAGCATATAAACAAGGACCCTTATTAATGTTACCATCCGCGATAAAGAACCCTATAACTATACTGAGAAAATAAACACCATACCATTTAATAAGTCTACTATGTCTAAGTATTTTCAACTTTGAACTTTCAATTAATACAGTACTAAACTTAATTGAAATATTGAACTTAAAAAATAAGCTTGACTTGAACAAAGTAAACATATAGACAGCTTACTAATGCTTCTATACATAATGTTCATAAATAGAGGAATTTGATGTATAAAATGTTTCCCGTTAATTATATGACTATGAGGTTCACTCAATTTGTTATATAATACCATGTTGAATATGAATGCCTTTGATCATTTTAATATGATTTTAATATGAGTCTAGTTGATTAATGAAAATGTATAGAATCAGGGTAGCCAGCAAATTTTCATTTTCATGAAAATTTGCATGGACCATTCCCTAAAACTTTAACATACAAAACAACAAAAAATTTTACATAGCCCTTTACTTTTGCCCAAAAACATAAACTTCAAAAGTGCTCTCATTGACTTTTAAATAATGATGTTATTATGAGACTTATCTTAATTTTAAATAATGATGTTATTATGAGACTTATCTTAATTTTAAATAATGATGTTATTATGAGATCTTAATTTGATTGTCAATTCAAATCATAACTTATAGTTTGAAACTAAATTAATTAAAACTCCCTGAGTTTTGCATAGTTTATTTAATTTCCTGACTTAAGCAGGATATCCAAATTGCTTGCCACCCTGATTATTTATAAATAATGAATATAGATTTATAGAAAAGCATTATATCATTATTTACAGATTAAAAATCTAAATACATTTTAAAAAAGGGTATTAGTTTTAATTTGTCTTTTGTTGGGTTTAAAAATCTTTTCATCACCTTTTTGTACTTAAAAATCTTTTCATTAACTCATTTTGTTCTAACACTATTGTTAAGTTTTTAAAATTACCTAATTCTTTTACAATGCTATGATTTTTCTAAAACTAGGTCTTTATCATTTACTGCAAACTTTACTACCATTTTCTGTTCATTTGTTACTACTTCTTGTTAAAATTGGCAATATAAGATGTCTCTAACCACTGAACCTCGACTCATTTACTACTACTTAAAAATATTCAATTATGATGTTTTTATTAATTCAATTTCAAAAAAAAAATTTAAAAGCAATATTAATTGAAAAAGTTTTTAAGAATTTTTGTTGTTGTTGTTTAAAGAGATCAATCTAAATATAAAATTCGCAAAAGAACACAAAATATAAAAGTTTTAAATAGCAATCTAAGTTTAATAAAAAAAATTTTATTTTTGCAATATAAAAAAAATTATTAAACTAATTATTTATGTAATTAGTTACATTTTTTATGGAACTAATTATTTCATCATTTTTCAAAAAGAAGACCAAATATTATTTAAGGATGAAAAAGAAATGCAAAATACACTGATAAAGTGTATTTCTATTATGAATTTATACTTGTAAAGTTTTAATATTTTCTGCCTACAAGTATGCGTGCATGATATTTACAAAAAGATGTGACGTTGCACAAAAAGTTATCTATCTTTCTATCTACTATCTATCTATCTCTCCCTCTCCCTCTCTCTCTCTCTCTCTCTCTCTCTCTCTCTCTCTCTCTCTCTCTCTCTCTTTATATATATATATATATATATATATATATATATATATATATATATATATATATATATATATATATATATATATATATTTAATGTAAATTTTTTTTAACTTTTTAAAGTTCAAAATTTACAAAACCAATATCCTCAGACTAATCAGCAGACGCTCAGAATGCTTTTAGAAAACAGTTATGAAAATCAACACCACGTAGTAACTAGTGAGAGCCAATCAAGTATTGTTGTTATGTTTTAGTTTGTTCTTTTTTTATATTTTTTGTTTTTATTTAAACTTACAAAATTACTCTAAGATCAAAATTATTTTTAGGAGAAAATCTTTTACAAGCAACAATAA